ACCCAGAGGGGCTCCTGCGCATCACCAGTTTGGCTTTGGTGATACCGTCCTGGAAGGCCCGTTCTACAGCAGCCCGCTGTTTGCGCATCCGCTCCTCTTCAGCCTCCTTCTCCATGCGCTCTACGGGAAAATAAAAAAAAGTAGCAAACCAAATTTAGGTTTTAAGGTTGACAAATTCCTAAAATGTAATCATAATAATAAACTGGCTTTGCTTTATATGACATATTAGATTTCAGAGGTGGAGAACAATGGCACTTTTGCTGTTNTACTTAAAAAACAAAGTGTTATAGTTTACAGAAGGTCTACCTACCTATAGGCTACCTGAATCTCGGAAATGTACTATATTCCTAAATATGCTATTGCTACACTTTATGGCAAAAATTGCACTTTTCTGTTGGTCTTGGTTAAGAACCTCCTTGAAAAAAATAAACAATGTTTTGTTGCTTAAGCTTATGTATTCAGTCATTATTCAATGGTATACTAAAATCCATGTGAAAAAAATTGCTTCTCACTGTTCTCAGGTCAAATATTTATATGCGATTAAAAATGCGATTAATTGCGATTAATTAATTACAAAGCCTGTAATTAATTAGATAAATTTTTTTAATCGAGTCCCGGCCCTAATAATAATAAACTGGCTTTGCTTTATATGACATATTAGATTTCAGAGGTGGAGAACAATGGCACTTTTGCTGTTAAGCATGACTAACCTACATTATAATGTGCTCTCTGCTTTAGATGTACCTTTGTTCTGTCTCTCCATCTCCTCCTTGTCCTTCTTGGCCTGCACGGACATCAGCCGCCGGCTCTTCAGTGAGCTGATCATGTCCTCGGGCTCCGGGTTTGGCTCCACCTTTACTTCTTTTTTGGTGTCCTTCTTAACACTCCCCTCTTTCTTTTTCTCACCTTTGAAAAAAAAAAAAATGCATTTAATTAAAAAAATTTTTTTATCAATTTAGCATTAAAATGTTGGTGTAATAAATAAAACACTTAAAATTGATATCGCTCTAATATTTTAAACTCTCCCATGTAGACAATGGATTATCAAAACATACTCATGATAAATGTATAACTTAAATGTAGATATTTTTCAGTTCAAATTAGTGGGGTGAGAAGCAAGAATCACGATATGAAATCACTCTATATTCAGTCCGGCATTAAAAACTGCAGGTAGAGCTCTCTGTGATCCTGCCTACCTTTGCCCTCCATCTCCTTTCGCATCTGCTTCTCCGCCCTTTTGCGGTCGTTAGCCTCCTTCAGCATGGCCAGGCGCTCCTTCCACACCTCAGCTGATCGTTGCTGCATTGCATCGACATGGTCTTCGACCGAGTACGTCATGAGTATGCGATGGCACAAAGCCACCAGCAGGCTGACCTTCTCGTCGGAGCTCAGCTCAAACACCTCGATTGTCTCGAGCTTCTCCAAGAACTCGCTGGTGACCACGTCATCAAAGCCCCCCAAAGCCCCAGAGTCCACAGAGCCCTGGTGGCTCCCTTCGCCCTGGGCGTCACATGGTCGCAGGCACAACCGCGCCAACTCAGACACCGAGTGCATGGTGAGGGGGATCTCAGATAAGGGCATGTCGAGCTCGCTGTAGCCCTCTGCCAGCTCGTCCTGCAGCAGCGTCTGGAGCAGCACCACCAGCACTCTGTTCAGGTACAGGAAGCCTGAGCGTTCCCCGGCCAGTGCTTCCATCAGAGCCACTGCTGTGATGGGATACTGGTCTTCTGGCATCAGTAGCCCAGCATAGCACTGGAGGAAGTCCACAACCATAGCCACACTTCCGAACAGGGTGTTGGGCAATCCTTCAGGCATGTCAACAAGCTTGAACGTCGGCAGTGTCTTGCCACCTTCGATCTCCTGATCCTCGTATCTGCGGGATTGTTCCCGTCGGACCAACATCTCCTTCCCTCTTCTCTCCTTGGCCTTTTCTCGCAATTTCTCTTTGACTTCCTCTCGCTTTTTCTTCATCTCTTCATTCTTTTCCTCTTCACTCATGGCTGCCCATCGCTTCTTTTGCTCCAGCAGCACCCAGCGTTTCTGCACCAGCTCCCTGAGCTCCTCTGGCAGCCGGCTCTGATCGTCTGGGGACAAGGTTTTTGCGGCTTTGGAGAGGAGGGAGGAAAGGGAGGTCTTTTTGTCCTCCTTGCCTTTGTGCTCCTTATAGTAACGAAGGAGGTGGAGAGCCATCGGGTGCAGGGGCTTCCCCAGTTTCGCGGTACCCATGCCACTACTACGGGCTCTCTTCTTGGGGCTCCCAGCTGGAGTGCTCTTAGCTAGATGCAGCAGAGTCATCTGCTTCATCTTTGGGGTTTTAGGACCAGCTTTGCCGTCCTTCTTAAAAGCTTTGAGGACACCGCTCTTTCCCGTTTTCTTTGCTTCTTTCTTGTCCCCAGACTTTCTGCCTGATTTTGGAGTTGAGGGAGCCGAGCCTTTGCCTTCTCCTTTCTTTGGGGATCCCGAATTCTTCACCTTGAGTGGTGAGCCATTCATTTGTATTTTCTGCAATACAGACAACATGAGCACTTTAAGTAAAGTTCAAAAGGCTACCACATCAGCATCAAGTAGCAACATATCCGAGACATGATATTGTGTTTACAAGCCAGCTAACCTGCATGTGGCCCCAAATGGTCGGACTGAGGGGCATGCCTAAAGAGTCGTTCTTCTTCCGTCTTCTTTTCTTCTCTCCTTTCTCATTCCCTGAATCCTCTCCAGGTGTGTCAGGGCTCTTGAGCCTCTTGCTAGGTTTACCCTCTTGAGACGACAGGCTCTTACGCTTTGCAGAGGGATTCTCTGCTAAAAACTTTAGACCAAAAACAACAAGTGTGAGTCAGGAACAAGCAACATTTTAAAATGTAGGTTATATTAGGGCTGCTCAATTAATCGTATTTTAATCGCGATTACGATTATGGCTTGCAACGATTACGAAAACAACGTAATCGAAATAAAACGATCTTTTTTTAATTATTATTTTAGTTATTTAGTTTTCAGTTGAATTATACTTAAAGTTCAGGGTAATCAACTGTTAAAAAAATACTGTTCAACATTTTTCTCCAATAAATGGATGTTTTCAAAGTCAATGAATAATCGCATTTAATAAATCGCAATTACAATTATTGACCCAAATAATCGAGATTATGATTTTTGCCATAATCGAGCAGCCCTAGGTTATATGATGAACTGTCATGAGAAAGTGTACCTTGTGTGGATCAAGAAGAAAGTCACTGAATTTGCTTGGCAGGTTGAATTTTTTAACCAGTTCGTCTTCAACCACCCAGGGAGCACTCTCTCCCATGCCCAGCCTCAGAGCATAGTGCCTGATGTAGTAGCGCATGATCTCCTTTGTTGGAGGACGCTCCGTTCTGAAAAGACTGTCTGTTGGGACATCACTGATCACCTAGAAGACAAGTCGGTGGGATACAACCTCAATTTACAAATTCAAACTGTGTCTATATCTCAAAGATCATGAACCACACAATGCTGGAGAAGGTTTGAAACCAAGCTCCTAAATATAATCAATTGTACCACAGAAAAAGACAATGCCTAATATGCTACCATGGGTTGTAAGACAAGACCAAAGAGGGGAAAGGAAGAGTAGAAACGTATTGTTTCATTTGAAAAACAGGATACTGACCTTATCCTCATTGATGAGCTTTACGTCATATTTGTGGGGAAGGAATTTGGGCATCACCCATCTCCTCCTCTCTTCCTTCATGGCAGTGGGAAGTTTCCTTGGTGAACGTCGTGCTCTGTCACCTGATAGGAAGTGAAACAATATAATATGAAGAAGACTGGTTTTATCCAAATAAACAGAACAAAGGTGTTTAATACTTTCAGTCAAATGTACTCACGTGACAATATTTTATTAATGCAAAAGAACGTTTTTAAGTTAATATTGACCTGCATGTTTAAAATATCTATTTGCTCGGATGCACAAACGTTACTCACTGAGACTCTCCCTCCTGTTCTCCTCCTCTCGGGGAGGAGGTTCCTTCCCTTGGTTCTCCTGACTTGCATTCTCCTTGTCGCTGGATGGAGAGTCGCAGGCACCTTCGAGCTTCTTCTCCGCCGTCTCCCCCTCTGGGTTATCTAGAGGATGAATCTTCACCACCTTCACTTGCAAACTTTTGTCCTTCCCCACCTGAAGAGAACAAGGTCTAGTGAGCATCTCAGAACACACTAGGGCTGCTCGATTATGGCAAAAATCATAATCTCGATTATTTGGGTCAATAATTGTAATTGCGATTATTAAATGCGATTATTCATTGACTTTGAAAACATCCATTTATTGGAGAAACAAAAATGTGAACAGTATGTTTTTAACAGTTGATTACCCTGAACTTTAAGTATAATTCAACTGAAAAATCAAAAAAAGGAAAAGTAATAATAAGATAATCGTTTTATTTCGATTAAGATGTTTTCCTAATCGTTGCAAGCCATAATCGCAATTAAAATACGATTAATTGAGCAGCCCTAGAACACACCAAGAGGAAGGTTTCTATTTCACACCTGCCTGGTACTTAAGTAAATGAATGTGTAAGTATTGTGTGAAATGAATGCCAAGTCATATTAGACTTAGCAGGTATTGTAAGTTAACACCTCTGAACAGAACCTAAGAGTTGAACAAAATAAATGTGTTTATAGGCTTTGTAATTAAAATCATTTACAGGCTCCTTTGTATAGTGATAAGGTGTACCTGAATCCAAATGCAAGGTTACATAACAAAAATTGAGAAGTAAAACTAACCAGGAAGTCACACTCTTCATCCAGAGCATACTTGGTGAGGATTTCCAGCCAGGCCATTTCAACCAGTTTGTCTAAAGACACTGTGTTGTGGTGGATCATCTCCAGGACCGGCTTCTCAAACCACTTGGGATATTCCTCGTCAAGCCTGTACAGAGAAAAACGGTCAGCAGATGTTTTTTTAGAAGCTAGCATATGAATAAAAAGTGTAATAAAGTTTGTGTCATGAGGCTCCACTTTTTTTCTCCAGTGTTAATTACCCAGCAGTTTGTCATCAGGACAGGGGCATTACATAACAGGGCAACAAAGCGTTGAGAGTGACCAGTAGGGGGAGTAAAATCTCTTGACTGATATAATTAGCATGGCTCATGATCCTAGGTGACTTGAGCTTTGGGCAGCTGAGCAATGCTTTGCCTTTACTGTGACATCTGCTTGGGCCACATGAAGGGTTTGTTCACCTTCCTCTTGCTGAAAGCACATACAGTATTTGTAGACCTGTATGTTGATAATTGTACTAAGAAAGGTCAGCTGAACTACTTCAGATTTTATATGGCTATGTTTTACACATTTGCCGATCAGGACAAAGGAACTTCCGCCAGATTCAATGATGACTCAATCACACACCCTCTAAATAGAATGAAAGGAGGAGCACAAGATGTATCCAATCAGAGCAAAGCATCACGCCTTGTGACCTTCACTGGGAAATTACAGCGCTTTCTTGACTCTACTGAGCTGCTGTTATAGTGGCTAACCTGCATTATTTACAAGTGGTGGTATATCTATTTAGAAATTAATGTGAAACAGACCTTTACTGGATATCTGAATGCATAGCAACGCCCTTTACTGAACTGTACCTGCATATTATTCAGGTTATATGTAGAGGCTGTAGACTAATCAGCAGAGAGCAGACTATTGGTCCTTAAATACACAAGGTGGAGAAAATCCTGTACATGCAAACTCAACATTTGGATGAAATACTAACAGTTCGGTGACTTCTTGTTCTTCCTCCCATGCTTCGTTGTGTGTGAGCTGACTGCTTCCGGTGCTCTTGCATGTCCAGATGCGCTCATCATACCTCTTCAAGCGTGCCTCATACTCTCTGTAGGCATTTCGTTAAGGAAACTACAATAGTCACGTGAAAACCGTTCTGCCTTTTTGGCTATTTGCCCACTAATTACAAGCAAGATTAACAAACAAGGGGCAAGGTTGACAATTTAGTGTCACTGGTGATAGAAATATAAAAATATTGAGGGGGACACCGTCCATCACAGACACAACTATATCATAACAAAAAAAGAGATGAAACGAAAAAGTTGAAGAATTGTACAATAACAATGCGAAGCTGGAAAATTGTAAGGGGGGCTGGGAAGGAATAATGATGGAGACAGATGCTGGAAGAAAGTCCTTGCTACCTTAGCAGTGTAAAAAGAGTGTACACTGATATCGGTTTTTGATTGGAGCGAAAGGTTTGACTGTGCTACCTTTCGTTATTCAACTAAAAAAGTAAAGTGAACCTTGTGTTACTATAAGATGGGACAGCCTATATATGAGGCCTATGCTTCTCATAGCTTTTGTTTAAGAAGTGATGATAGATTGAGATGTTAAAAAGGTACATACATACTTTAGAAAGTAGATAATATAGTCATGTCACTGCAGCAATCTAAACATACCAGAAACTAAAACAACTCAGGTTGCCATAAAAAGGCCTAAAGTCCACTTTTCGTACTGCGTGTCACGCCGAACTGTCATCATGTTGCTTACAGTTAAGGACCTCTGACGTTCTGAAGTTCACACAAACACCAAAACAAGTCGGTAAAGTTACCCAAATATGTTGCCAAAACCAAGATAAATACATAAGAGCGCTGCTTAAAATCAATAAACAGTTGTATGTCGGCTGTTGTCCTCTCTTGTCAAACTTGAAACAGCAAATGTACCGGCAGCTAAGGCTAGCTAAAGCTAACTGAAAGCAGCCGAGCAACATCCTCAGACGGGCTATTGTGACATAATGGAACCTAACGTTAGCAGCGTGCTAGCTAACCCGTGTAGCATTAGTAGCTGACAGCGGGCTGGTAAAAGTTGAAAGTGAAAGGAAGCATTTTAGCAATTCGTTATAAATAACTAAGAGATGGGAATTGTTAAATGTGTTATACAAAATACAACAAGTGTGCTATAATGCGTTATAGCCAGTTAGCTAGCTATCATGGCTGGATTAGCAAAGCGGGCTGAACATTAGCTGTACACTGTGTACATGCGGAGGAAATCAGCGTTTAATGAGGGGAAATGTCAGGTACCATCAAATAAATCACGCTAGCCAGCTCTTCAGTCCTGTGCAAATGACTAACATTATGTAATCAGAAATTAAGCCAGATAGACAAAGCCACATATTTAAAGCATGCTGGTTGGCTCAATAGGAGCATCAGCATCATGTTAAAGGATACTCTTTGTTCCTGAAGGCCTCCTTGGTGTGCTCAATGATGTAGACCTCCTCTCCCGGGCCTGGTGGCTCGGCTAGCGGCTTAGCCAGTGGGTAAGGTTTTCGGCCTAAAAGCGGTGCCATTTCAAATCCACAGATGGCACGGGTGCCAACGGTACAATTAAATCTTCTAGCAATAAACTAGTACAATGATATACAATAATATGACCTTAGCATGTATGCAAGTGTCTTGTCTTGTCGGGTTACCGCCGGCAGGCCCGGCACTCAGCGTGTAGCAGCTAGCTGACTAGCTAGCAGGCTGGATTGCTATCTGGTTGCAAAACAATAACAGTGCGCGTCTTGCCATCCGCCTCATCGCATCCTTCTTCTCTCCTCAAGTAGCGGTGCCATGCTGGTTTCAAGCAAAGATGTAAAACAGGTGGCCAGATCTGTCTCTCTCTAGAGTTAGTAAACTTTTAGTTCCTCCGGATGAACATGTAAGGATGCAAGCCGCACCGATATCAAACTCGCGGCAACAGCCAGAGCTCAGTTCAGCAGGAGGTCTGGCGCGCTGTACAATCCCAAAGTCTTTGCAACTAACTAGCCCTGAACTCGTCAAAACAACTGTATTTGCTGGATGTTCGTACGGTCGGAGCGTCTTGTTATCAGAAAAGAATAAGTAAGTGGTGCGAAAAAGTAACGTGGATCGATCAAGAGGTTAATTCCTTGTTGAAATGGCGGGAGTTTCTAGTCCACCGGTACAATTCCGTACACTCTCAGAACTCCGTTTCCCCGGCAGCAGGCAGCGTCGCGAGAACGTCCCGCCCCCACTTGACGCTCATTGGCTCCCTCAGTAGAGCGCCTTCATCGAATTGCTCTCGTGGCCTGTGATTGGCTGATTTGGCCTGGCTGTCAAACTACACTAGCCCTCGAAACAAACCACGCCCGCATCGAATATAAATGAGACTAGAGGTCAGCTGATGACAATAGCTTATATGATCTTTTTGACTAATTTATACATAAACCCATTTCAATATGTTGATAATGTATTGGCTGAAAACTGATCAGACATATATTCCTTGTCCAATAATCAAAATCATTTTCTAAACCCTTTGTCTGGTTTCCATTTTGAAAATGTCTGTTTAAACAATAGGCCCTTCCTTAATTAAACAGCACAGTAACCACACGATATTATGGTGAATGCATAGCGACTTTGTAGTAACAATGAACGGATTGATTGGAAATTCATTGGAAAGTAGCATTTATTATGGTTTACAACTGCTTCAGTTATAAACATGGGCAAATTATATCATAAATATTAAGAAAGCATTTCTTGCATGTTTTAAGCCAACAAATATCCGTTTCAGAAAGGATGTTGTATTTAATACAAAATGGCACATCTAAACATCAATCTAAAGCTACACATTTAATACATTTTCAAAATGGCATGTAAACCTAAACAACAAAGCAATAGGAATTTGAAACATGCAAAAGTGAGGTTCAGCTCCATAAAGAGAAACTGAGAAAATAGTTAGTTGCCACAAAAGCATGTGAATTAAGAATTTTAAAACATTGCTTTCAGTGGCAGTCACTTGCCACACAAAGTTCGGAAAATCGTCTCCATTCATTTCTGAAATTATTGAAAACGGCATACTTTAGAGACCTTTAAAAGTAAACAAGGATTTCGCAGGAAATCATTTTTTTCATTTGATTGAATGTAATGTTTGCGGAAAATATGTCAAGAGAATCTTATAATCATTTAGAAGGCGTGGCTAATCTGACAGAGGAAAGGTATCATGTGCATTTTGACAACATTATTCTAAATGAGCTATCTCAGAACAGCATTTTCTCCTGTGCATATCTTCTTTAAAGGGGGTGCTCCTGTTTCATCCAATTCCTCCTGTTGAATTAAAATAAAAATATGTTAGTAAAAGGTCCACAAGGTTAGAAGCAATACTAGTTAAAAAAAAAAAAAAACATAATTTGTAACACTATGCAACAAACCCCAATGCTTGAAATTGTATTCTTAAAACATTTTTAAGTCTTCCTTGATGCCCTTTTAAAAAAATATACCTGTGTGTCTGGGGTCTTCCGTCTGATGGCTCCTGATGAAAGAAGGTCTTCCTTGATGAGAGTGGGAGGCTCATCAGCCCCCTCCTGTCCTGAATGTACTGGCTCTGCATTAACAAGAAAGGGTGGAAATATATCCTCATGAACGCAGCTTTGACAGTAAAGGAATCCAGAGACAGCACAGTACCCAACTAGTGTAATTTCAATAAGTATTTCCACAGTTCTACTACTATTACCGCTAGGACTGATACCTTTGTACACTTGTACCTTTTTAAAATAACAGAATACTGTGTTCAATTCAGTGAAAATATGTTTGAGCGCCATCCACATACCATCTACACTCTCCTGGCCCAGCATTGGTGGCTGAGAGTCTTCAGTTCGGAGGCTGGAGGTGTGTGGAGGGCTGACCTGCTGCGAGCTGGAAGTGCTGCTGCTGTTGTCCATTTTAGGCTGGTAAACGTCCGACAAAAAGCTCTGGTTGCTGTTTTCATCTGGGAATGAGAGCACAGTGCTTAAGATCAGGTGACATAGTTTTATTATGTTTTTGTTGTATTTTTGTTTGGTTGTAAAGTATTTAGGCTTTTGACATTTTTGCATGGAATTGCTCCATCATTTTTTTTTTTTTAAATACACACACAAACTCACCAGTGAAATCCAGTAAAGAGTTGGTATTTTCCAGGACCACATCTTTCAGTCCTCTAGCATCTCCACCTGTAGATTTGGTCCTATATATCTGATAACAAGGAGGGGATTGTAAAAATCAGTCTTTTGACTAGATATATAGAAGTGAATCCTTAAAAGCTATGCCATTTTTTTTTTTTACGTGGCAGACACCCACCTGCTTTGTTTCTGTTACTGGCACCCACTTGAATATGCGTAAAGATGTGTCTCCGACTGTCACCCATTTCTTCTCCCTGTAGATGAAATTAGTTTTTGCTTATTTTCGCAAGGAGCTTTTTTTAGGTCAGCACCATCTGCTTTAGGAAACCATTCATTTGTAACATGACATAACAGGCTTTACATGCTCGTGTCTTCTCTGTCTACAGCAAAAAATGACATCTAATCAAATATCTTATTATGCTAACTAACAGCCCTCGCTTACTTTGCATGGGCGTGAAAATATAAGGAGGATTGGTATCATGGTGTTCATTAATGTCACTGTTATGTCTGTGACTACGGGACAGTCGTCTACATTACGGCGCGCAGCGTGTGAGGCTGTGGCCATATTGACAGCTATCGGCGGAAAAAACTCAGCTAGCTCCGCCCCTGCTGTCAAACGGGGGCAATGATTGGTCAGCAGCCCCGTCAATCATCCAACTTTTCCGACTGAAGTTTGTTGAGCGACGCAGCAGATAATCAGGCTACAGTCTAGTGAGTCTACTAATACATTCCCCTCCATATTGTCCCCCGGACAGCCTACATACCATTTGCGCACCTTCTCGATGGCTGCCAGGACCTTTTTAATGTCATCTTTAGCCCGACTTCGGGTCTCTGCACGGCCTGATCGTCCCGACATCTTGATGCTGTTATGATTCATCTACAGATGCATCTGAAAACTTCAAGACCAAGCCCCAGTCCTCCGTTACACTGGTAGTCTCGCGAGATTACAACCTCTCATTTTTAGGTTTATTTTTTGGGCTTCATCCTCGTCAGTATGCTCATACTGTATTTGCTGTAATTATTGGATGGGCAGTCAGAGGTTTTTTAAAATTATATATATTTTTTAATTATTTACAGTTCATTACATGCACTCATATAAAGTGGTGGAATGTTACCAAATACATTTTTACATCACATTTCATTTAATCAAGTAGTGTAGGCTACTTACTACTATATAGAGTAATTTAAATTAGCCCACCTCTTCCAGCTCGACATTCAGGTAATGATCACTGTATTGCATCGATATCAATAATGAAAATAATAATAAATCAGTAATATATAATTTGTTATTATATATTTTTACCTTTAGTAAAAATCACTGCATTCAAATAAAGTATGTATGTATTTACATTGTGATATTGCATAGTGATACTTCCAGTGCACAACAATACTGGGATATTGGAGCGTACTTGAGTACTTGCTTCCTTAATTAATATTACATTCTTTTTTAGAGATTCAACAATAATTGTGGTCAATAAAATGTCAAATATAATGTCAAAAATATAACGTTTATGACAACTAGGTCGAAGAGGGTGTTTCCAGTGTCTTGTTTTACCAATACAAAGTCTAAAGTCCAAGAGGGAAGCAGGAAGTCTCCATTTGCCACATGCTTAAAACATAATTTTCTGTAATTTCTTTGCATTAAAAATATAATTTTCTTCGATTAATCATCACATCTCTAGAAATCTGCTTCCCTTTAGTTATTTTTATATATTTTACAATGCCTCAACAATTTGTTTTATTGTGATGGGTATCATACATTGCTACACACATTTCCAGCTGGCCCTCCTTTTACCCCTGAGACAAAAGCTTTTATTAAATGTACGTTTTTACTCCTGGTTCCCATGTTTGACCAACAGAGGGCAGCCTTGAGTTGTGCATGGCAAACAGGCTCCTCCATAATCTGAGACTGAGCAAAGGTTGAGTCTGTTGCAGTTTTGATGAATTAGTTATTGGAAAAATCAATGACAATAATTTATTTACAGCTTGCATATCTTCCAGGTAATACAAGAGAAGGATGTACTTTACAGAAACTGATCAGACTGGAGTGTGGTTGACAGTGGTATAGCTTCAGGGTAAAGCCCTTGTAAAAAAAGAATCAGTGACAATAGAGCGTATATGTAGAATGATAAGCTTAACAATCAATACATTATAACATACTGTACAGTATCAGTGTTCAGATAGGGCTGATTGTTGCTTGGACAAGTTGTAATAGCACTAATCGGGACGCCATAAGGGATCACATGTGTTGATTTTCTGCAGTGTGTAGCATGGAGTCAATGACGAAGAATGTTGGGGTTAATGGCTAAATGTGATTTTATTAAAACATTCAAGGATTTGGCTTGTGTGTATAATGTGACATGCTCCTTACATTGAAGCTGTTTAATTCAGATTTTTTCTTAGTTCATTCTCAAATCTTTTTTGAATTATATTGCATTTTCCATCTGTTCCAATTGTGTAATACATTTATTGTGATTCGAAAACAAAAACTTTACATGTTATGGTGTATTTAAACACAAGGCATTACATTAGATAGTGATAAGCTTAATATATACAAAAACATCATTAGGGTACTTTCTATTGGGAAGTAGCTGTCCCCAACCCTGACCCCTTACCCCACTTAAATTTTTTTTTTTAAAGTTGTTCATTGGTGTATTTAGAAGATATTTATGAATACATTCAAACAGAAGTTGGAATATTTAGATTTATTGTGGGTATCATTTTTTATTGAAAAAACTATACTCAAAAAATCATGTACCCAGTTTTCATGTGACTAACGAAACCAAAGGGGTTTTATTCCAATGGCTGAGCCTGGTTTTTAGCCAGACCCCTGCATTTTTGACTAGGCAGGGACACTGCATCCCTGTCCCTCATGGCTGAATGGCAAGTAGCTATGTATATCCCATACTTTTGTTATAAATCTGTTCCAAAATCAGAAAATCGGCGTGTAACCTTAAAGGTCCCATGTCATGGCCATTTCTACTGATCATAATTCCATTGTTGAGGTATACTAAAATAAATGTATATTGTGCAATTTTCCA